GGGAGGTTCTTCAACTCCATGTGACATGTGGAACAAAGGCTTAACACCATGGCAAAGTGACATCCTGCCTCAGAAGATCCTGTGGTCTAGGCCTCTGAGGCTCAGAATTCAAGGTGGACCCTTGAACTCACACAAAGTCCCCTTGAACTGTGTTATTGGGATTGTGTAATACCGCCCGTTTCCTCTGGTTCTCATCTGCCATGGCTTTGATCTTATGAGGGGAGGAAAGAGATTGGTATGATGTTTACTGGTACTCACAGAATAACTTCCCCTGACATGTTAAGTCACTCCAGGTATTTTTATTCTCTTTTCTTTTACAGCAGCCCGAGTTGCAGGCAGCAGCCCACTCAGCTTTCTCCCTGAACCACTTGTCAGCTTTGGAAGTGATCCCCGCCTCCGGGTACCTCAAGGTAAGTCCCCGCCAGTGTTCTGCAGCGCTAATTAACTCATTACAATTTCTTTCCCTCTTGCCAGTGTAAAACCCCAGGCAACCCTTTTTTGCAGTTACCCGGCCAGGTTTTGCTGAAGCTGGGCAGTATAGCTGGTGCTCAGTCTCCCTCATGTTACCAAGACTTTCCCAAGTTTTTCTTTCTTTTTTACCCCCACTGCCACTCCCTGATCAGTTTCATGGCTGTGCTCTTTAAAGCCTGCTTCCTGATCCCCTCCTCAGGAGTGGGAACATCCCTGGCTGTTGCTTGCAGCCAAGCCTAGCCTCCCCTAAGCTGGGGTCCTCCTTATCTTCACCAGATTCCCCCCTCCATTTGTGGTGAGGGGCCTCAACCCCTTTGAACTCACCACCACAATTATATCCCTGGGTTAGACATCATCCTTTGCATGCCTGAAAGTATTCTCTCTAGTTCCTCCCTCTGATTTTATCCCTGGAAGCTACATCTGATTAGCCAGTCTTGACCAATGTGAGGAATTCTCCCCCACCTGGCTGGGTGTCATCATTAACAGCCCCAGGTGTTTCTCCAAGTAAGAGGGCTCCTGACAGACACCCTGTTACAAACTGGAATAGGGGTCCAACCTTACAACCCTTACCCATAGCAGTAATTCTTACTTATGTTAATAGTTCCATTGTTTTAACTGGGACTCCATGCATATTTAAGAGTTACTTGCATGACTGAAAGGTTATAGGACCTTAGGGGCTGATTCTACAACCTTTTCTGTCTACGATGGTTTTCTGGTTCCCTCCAGGCAAGCAATGCTGAAGTGGTGCTTATTTTAAATAGATATGTATCCTTGATGGATGAATGTTGTTTTATTATTTTACATCATGACTTGTGCTTTTTATATGATTTTTATTTCCTTCTTGCCCATGACTGGTTAGTACCAGTTTCATTATTAGTCATATGCCTGAAAGATCTTATAGGCAGATTTTAGAGAGAAGCTAGCAAAAAATGGTTGTTTATGCATGTTCTTCTAAATGTGGGTGAAAACAAACAGAGCTTAATTTAATGTGATGGATACAAGTAGAAAAAATCAGCTATTTTTTCAGTATGGTTTAAATTGCGCTAATAAACCCAGATGAATTAATTTTAAAATCATGTTAATGATACATATGCTCTTTACTGTCGAACTGAATGTAAAGAAGATTTAAAAAAAAACCCTCTGGAGTTATTTAGTGCCTTTTTTAAGAGGTCAAGTGAGGACATCAGCTCAAGTACTCATTGTGCCATCTGTTGGTAAAAGATAGAATTTCCAGAGGCTATTTCATAGCTTACGTATAGTATATTAACAATACCTGTTACTTAAAGGGGATGATTTTTTTGTTATTATTGACCAAGTCAGTTGTCATTCTTTTTACTCAAACAGGACAATTTGGTATCTTACATGTGGCAAAAGCATTATCCTTGTAGATTTCAAACATTACCCTTATTGCAATAAGGCAGAGTAACTCAGAAGCCCACCATAAATCAATTATGCCTAGTTTCTTCTTGTTATGTCCACATGCCCCTGATTCAGCATTACTCCATTTGTAGAACAGATCTGCAGTTTTGGTTCAGGTGCTTTTTCAGTTGCTTTCAACCAGTTCAGAGTGCTACTTGTGTATATTTAAATAATCTTAAATGTCATTTCCTTTCTGCTGCCCATCCTCACTTGTCATACTTGCTCAATTAATGCCTGTTTCCTGCCCAATGTTTGCTAAAAGGGCTTTTCTGGTTCTCCAGGAACATGGGTTTGTTTGAATAGCCAAGGCAGAGGCTTGGGCTTTGAAAGTTCCTTCTTTTTTTATTGTTTTCTGTGCTGGTATATTTGACATGCAGTGCTCTCCTGTTTATTTTCATTGTAGATCTTACCAAAGGCAAGGTTTGGAGACCCCATCAATGGAAAAGGTGAACTCCCCCACCCTCACCACCCCAAGCACACTGCCATTTGAAGAGTGTAAAGCTATCCTGTCCAGTAGGATAAAAAAATGCTATTGGAAAGGAAGTTTGCTACCTATTATCACAGATAATACTTTAGGGCCAGATCCTGCAAGCAAGGGAGAGCTTTACATAGTTGAGCAGCTCCACTGACCTCAAAGAGTCCGTCGGTCTCAGTGCAGGTAGGAAAGCTTGTTAGTATTTTTGCAGGATTGGGCTCTTGGGTTGTTACATCTGAAGATGATGGGACAGATTTGAATGTGCTGCCTGCCAGGCATGCCTCCTGTTTGCCTTTTGCATTTCTCAGGCAAACAAAAGACACTGGTGAGTTTCACTTTTGTTCCAAGTTCTTTTCTAGTCCAGTTCATTTCCCCCTCCTACAGGGCTCCATTGTTTGCTTTATGAAACTCTGGGAGAATATTTATTTGCCTTTAAAAGGCATGAATTGCAAATCAGTCCAGGATGATTTCTAAGTAATAAATATCTATATTTGTGTGTGTGTGTGTGTGTGTGTGTGTGTGTGTGTGTGTGTGTGTGTGTGTGTGTGTGTGTGTGTGTGTGTGTGTGTGTGTGTGTGTGTGTGTGTGTGTGTGTGTGTGTGTGTGTGTGTGTGTGTGTGTGTGTGTGTGTGTGTGTGTGTGTGTGTGTGTGTGTGTATATATATGGAGAGAGAGAGAGGTCTTATATATGACAGAGAGAGATAGGGACCTCTCTCTCTCTCTTTCTCTATCTATCTATCTATCATATATATATATAGAAGAAAAAAGAAAGAAGAAAAACAAGAGAAAACACTGGAGAGAAAAAAGGTCCCTGTATATGTGTATGTACATATACACGCATATATGTATATATGTATGTGTATGAATGTGTGTGCAGGGACCTTTTCTCTATATATCTATAGATATAGGTCCATATATATATCTATATCGACCTATATCTATAGATATAGATATATACATGGACCTATATCTATTGTGAGAAAATACATATACACACACAAATGGACTTTTTCTCTCCCATATTGATCTATATATAATATACATATAGGTCTATATCTATATATCTGTGGAATCAATATATTGGGGATATTTATGGATCTTGTGTTGCTGACTCTAGGAAGCTGTCTTCTGTGCTCTCCCCCTCCCACAAAATATAAGGACAAAGGGTTCCACTTCCTGCTGCACTCAATCATTTATTCTGCTGCATGCCTGTTACAGTGTGGTAATGGTTACCTGATCTCTTTCTTGAAATGAAATAAAGTCCCCCTTCGTCCCCGCCCCAGTTCTCCTCCCATAGATCAGATAATAACAAGCACTTGTATGAGTTACCGCCTGAGGAGCAACTTGTTGCTTTGCCCCTTGGGAATGTTCCTGACTCCAGATGAAACAGGTCCCCTTTGGCACAGCTCGCACTCGCTGCTGCTGAAAGCGCCTCGAGTTGCTCACCCATGTGTGTCTGCCTGAATTACCTAAACGCTGCACTTGAGCTGGTATGTGTAGAGGGGTTGCACCCTGGACATGCTGGGTGGGCTCCTTCCCAGCTTTGCTGCAGTGTGCCCACTAGGCTTCACCATGGAAACACCTTCAGGTGGCACCTCCCAGCCCTCTCACAAACTGCTAGCTGCCAGAGTAGCTATCCTCGGGTATACAGGTAATGAATTTTCATTTCTGCCTAGGAGAACTTTTACAATCTTTACTCTCTTCTATGCCTGAAGAAGGGCGCATGTGCCTGAAAGCTTGCAAATAAAGATTTTTTTTTTTTGCAAATATAGTTGGTCTCACAAAAGATATCACCTCTGCCACCAGTTCTGATTCCTTTTGCTATCACCAGGCACTTAGGAGACGGCGGCATTGGCACTTAGGAGACGGCGGCATTCAGCCCCCATGATCACTGGGGCCAGACTTCTTGCCTGGAGTCCTAGAGGCAGTGGGGGAAGAGTGGAAATCACTTTTCTTTACAAAAAAGCCCAAACAACCCCCCCCCCCCCAACCATGTAAATTCCAAGTGTAGTTTGCATTTATTTGGGGAGATGCCTTAAAAAGATCTTTTCCGTTTCTCCTCCTGGAAAGCTCTTACTGATGTACCCTCTCCCCTCACCATGTCAATTCCAAGTGTAGTTTGTATTTATTGGGGGTGGGTGTGCCTTAAAAAAGATCTTTCCCTTTTCTCCTACTGGAAAGCACAGATCCCTCCAACACAATACAGACTCCTCCTTTGCCTGAAGAAGGGTGTTTGTGCCCGAAAGCTTGCAGAGAACCCGCCCCCCCCCCGAACTCTTTAGTTGGTCGAATTAGAGATCACATTTTCCCAAAAAACCTTGTCTGCCCAGATCCCTCCAGACAGGCAAGCTGGAGCCGGCAGGCAGTGCCCCCTCCTCATTCCCTACAGCTGGGGAGGGGGAGACTGCAGACATTGGTTACATTCCAGCAGTTTTAATCCGTTTTTTATTGTCAGATCTGAGTAGTTTCCTCTGGGTTGTGGGGGGGAGGGGCGGTTTCCCCCTGCCCCGCAGTAACCTGTTGCTTTAAGCCCCGCGCTGGGGCTGCGCTAGCCCGGATCAGCCCCGGAGGGGCGAAGTGATTTAGTTGCGGCGTGTGATTGGCTCCGGCAGCCTCCCTCCTTTGCACACTGTTATGTCTGTGTCTCGGTGTCAGGCTGGGTGTGCAGGGCGCATGCTCTAGCAGCTCCGATCCAGGCGCTGGAGCTGGAGCTGCAGCTGGGGGCTCAGTTTAATGAGAGAGAGAGAAAGAGCCAGGGGGAAAAAGGGAAAAAGAGAATGTCCGCCATCTCCCCTCCTCTCCTGGGCGCACTCCCAGTGATAGCCGCTTCTTCATGAATTAGAGCTCAGGGGGCGGGGTGGGGGGGAAGTACATACCCCAGCAAACCCCAGGGCCCCCAGCATGGCCAGCTCGGTAAGTACATACAACCCCCCCCACCTTCCCTTCCCTCTCCTCCTCCACCCTGCGCTGCCCAGACACAGTTTAGTGCTTCCAATTAGATAAAGGTTAGTGTGTTGGGGATTTTTTTTTCTGTGTAGCTTTTCCTCTCCTTCCCTCCCCTCCCCTGCAATTGCATGAAGCACAGCGCACACGCACACACACATCCAGGGAGACACAGAGACGGTGGAGGCGAATAATAACCCAGCCATATTTCTGCAGCCGCAGCAGCAGCCAGGGGAGCAGTGAGTACAGTACAGGGGACTCCGCGCAGGAGGCGCCGCTGTAGGATGGTGCGTTCTCTCGGCCGGCTCTGACAGCCGGGGGCACCCCAGGAGCTTCACCCTCCTGCATGCCCCTGTGCCTCCGTGTGTGTGTATGTGACCCTCATGCATGCCCTTGTGTGTGTAGGGGTGTGTGATCCTCATGCGGGGTGTGTGTGTATGTGTGTGTGTGCACGCAGCTATTGATGCCCCCCTCCCTCGGACCCCTGCTTTCCTACCAGCAGCGGGGAAGGTGGGGGATCCTGGCTGCTCCCTATCCTACCACCCTGGCAAGCCCCTGTTTTCTGTGTTTGTGTGTGTGGGGGGGAGGGTTATGATGACTTGTTCATGCATCAGTGGAGGGGGAAGATTGTATTTCTTCCTCTTGAATCCTGCCCTCCTTTCCTCTCCCTTGAATTGTTGCATATGCTGCCAGGGAGGTGCACCCCCCCCTTCCCTCCACTCCACCCAGCAAAGGAGACTTTCTTTCTCATTCCCAACCCCCCGCATTCCCCCCTCCCGTGCCCGGCCCAGCTCGTGTGTCTGCCCGCATTCCGTTGCAATGCGCGCCCGGCTCTTCACCCTGCGGGGCTCTTCCCTTCCCTGACCTCTTCTTTTTGTGCAATGGGGTTTATCCCCCTTGCCCCCCATCCAGCCCTAGCTCTGCTTTCGCCTCACAGGGGTGTGTGTGTGTGTGTGTCTCTCTCTCTCTCTCTCTCTAGTGTGCCGTTCAGGTGAAACTGGAGTTGGGCCACCGAGCCCAGGTGAGGAAGAAACCCACCGTGGAGGGCTTCACTCATGACTGGATGGTGTTCGTGAGGGGCCCTGAGCACAGTAACATTCAGCACTTTGTGGAGAAAGTCGTCTTTCACCTGCACGAGAGCTTCCCCCGGCCAAAAAGAGGTAGGGCCCCACTTCAAGGTGTCTCCAGAAATACAGCTTGAGTGTTGTTTGCTTAGGGGGAGAGGAACAATCGCCTTCCCAGGCATGCTGTGAGCACTGGGAGGCACACAGCCCACAGACGGGCTTCCGGCTGCCACACAGCTCCCTGCCTACAAAGCACCATCAGGTGTACTGTGGGGTTTTTTAAAATTATTATTTATTTTTTTTTCCCCCCAAACCATAACCTGACTGATGGAGCAGGGAGTTGGCAGCTGATGGGTTTGTGCAGGCTGAGGTGGGGAACAAAAGCAGCCCTCTCCTCTTCTTCTTACAGGCTTTGCCAATCCTTTTACTGCCGTCTAGGTTATCAATGTCATTTATTTCTCCATTCCCCCTCCCCCCCTTCTCTCACAATCACTCAGATCAGTAGCTGCAGCAATGATCTTTTAATCACTGGTGCCTAGGACAAAGCTCATGGTAGAGGTGATATCTTGTATTAGACCAACTAGATTTTTGCAAAAAATTTTCTTTAAATTTTCTTTGCAAAAATCTAGTTGGTCTAATAAAAAATATCACCTCTACCATGAGTCCTAATTCCTTTTGCCGCTAGACCTATACAGCTACAACTGTATTAGTCAACACGCACCTGGCTGGGGTCATCTAACCCCATTGCTCTTTTCTGTTCAGGGCAGGGGGTCGGACTTGATGATCTACAAAGGTCTCTTCCGACCCAAACATCTGTGAACCTAGATACCTGGGACAAAGCTTGCATTTATATGCCATTTTTCCCCAGAGCATCTTCCCTGCTTTATTGATGGTGTTGGCAATTCTCTGTGCTGTAAATCAGCTCTATAGAGGGGTTCCTCCCCCC